GAAAATGCTTTAGCCAACACTGCTTCAGAAACTTTTCCAGGTGAAGCGTAACATTTAAAATTTGCCCCATTGAAACCCAATGAGCAAACATTATAAAAACGATGTAATATTAAATGGTACGTATAGGAAATGAAGCTTGTTCAAAAACATCTAAATGGAATGCTGCATGCGCAGTTTCTCGTTTACTTCCGCGCAGTTTAGCGTACATTTATGATGAAGCAGAAGCAGCATGACCAAGCTTGTCTTGTAGTAGATGGCTAGCTAGAAGTTCTCTTTCCAGTTGTCCCATTCGTTTTCAGTAAAGGGTATTTTCAAGAATGCCACCTAATGGGAAAGGTGCCAAGGATGGGGGGTGGCAAGGGAGGCAAAGGTTACTTTATTCTTCACTAAATCGACAAGGCATGTTGGATTGAGTACATGCTAACTAGCTAGCTAGCCAACTTTACAACACAGCCTGTGTGCAGTTAGCTTGCGGCTAGGTAGTTATCTCCATGTAAGTCATGGTATTGTGTTGAACGTTATCATTCGGGTGGAGACAAAGGGGAAAAAGAGGAGAAGAGGATAAAGGGAGGCACTTCTGTTAAGGTAGCTAGCGAGATAGCTACCTATGTTATCTAGTCTATACAATGCCACACCATACTGTACTGTCTTTGGCTACACTGTGTGTGTGTGTGTGTTCGTTCTCATGTAAGCAAAGACAGCTAACTAAATTGACTAGCCATGTTGTTTTGATGTATTCCCCAGGTCAGACATATCCTGTGTGAGAAACATGGTAAATGCATGGAGGCGATGGAGAAACTGAAGGCTGCGGTTCGCTTCAGTGAAGTGGCCTCACAGTACAGTGAAGACAAAGCCAGACAAGGGGTAAGAGAGCAGTTCCCATGCACCAACTAACAGACATTCACCCTTACGATCACTTAAAGGTGTATTGGTTTATTATGGTAGTGTAATGTATTGGTTTATCATGTAGTTGGAATAGGGTGCTGTCTGCTAGTACCCAAAAGATCCACTGGGTGGCATCCTCTATGTCTTGCTGTCTATCACTTAATCGTTTTTCAATAATATTGTTAGGTGAGAGAACTTGGGTGTATTCATTAGTTGCAGATTGTTGCACAACTTTTGGTAACAGAAACCGTTTACTCTATGAGCCAAACAGACACAAACGAAACGGGAGGGACCTACCTGAATCTGTCCAATAGAAACTCTAATTTCCGTTGTTTTCCCTTTGGAGTGAATGGTTTCTGTTGCAAAGCATTTTGCAACAGTGTCTGACTTATGAATACACCCCTGTTTTAGCCTTTTGTATGACTGTGGCAATATTGACTGTACTGTTATCCTGGTTGTGACAGGGTGATCTGGGCTGGATGACAAGAGTCTCTATGATCGGACTTTTCCAGGACGCTGCCTTCGCCCTACCCAACAGCACCATGGACAAACCCATTTACACAGACCCCCCCTGTCAAGACCAAGTTTGGCTACCACATCATCATGGTGGAAGGAAATAAATGACTGGAAGGAAAATATCCACTACTCTTCACTTTGACATTGGGACACTTGAGGGAGTGTGCAATTCTGTCGGAGGAGAATCAATCATTCGGTCGTTTAATTTCTCTGCCTGCTTTTCTTCATTTCTTGCATCATTTCTTCCTAGTAATGGCACAACAAAAGCTAACAATGAAATGCTCCGTAAAGAGAGACACTCGGGCTAATAAGATGTATGAACTCCTGTCTGTACATAAAAGGTGGTGAAATTTGTACACTGCTGGTCAATTAAACATTGTAAAATGTCCAGGGGTGAAATTAGATTACATTTCTTACCGGTACGGGACACCCAAGTGCGCGCACAGGTTTTTTTTTAATACTACAAAAATTAAGGGTAGCCTACTCTGCTGTCACTGACAAACAGATCAATAAAAACGTTGTTGTCTGATCCATATAATTGGCCTACGAGAAGGGGAGACACAAATACAATATGACATCCATCTAACCTGCAGGAGGAAATTATTGTCCAAAAACAAACAAAAGTGGCACTGACTCAATGATAAAGACAGTGAATATGCACATTCACTGGGGATATGGCCTGTGTTCTCCGCTGGTGCCAATAAAATAGGCTACTGTTCAATCAATTCAGTTAAGAATTGTGATAACTAAAAGACAGATTGGAGTCTCTTCATTGTCATCTCTTTACAACAATAGCCCATTTGCTTTCCAAACAGTTTTTCTGCGATTGTATTTTTAAATATTGCGATATGCCTGGCTGGGTCTCTGCTTTTCACTGACAGTCGCAACTCAACAATCATCTACACTGAACAAAAATCTAAACGCAACATGTAAACAAAAAGCTTATTTCTCTCATTTTGTGCACACATTTGTTTACATCCCTGTTAGTGAGCATTTTATACTTTGTCAAGATAATCCATCCACCTGACAGGTGTGGCATATCAAGAAGTTAATTAAATAGCATGGTCATTACACAGGTGCACCTTGTGCTGGGGACAATAAAAGGCCACAAAAAAGTTTTGTCACACAACATAATGGCATAGATGTCTCAAGTTTTGAGGGAGTGTGCAATTAGCATGCTGCCTGCGGGAATGTCCACCTGAGCAGTTGCCAGAGAATTGAATGTTCATTTCTCTACCATAAGCCGCCTCCAACGTCATTTTAGAAAATTTGGCAGTACGTCCAACCGGCCTCACAATCACAGACCACGTGTAAACGCCAGCCCAGGACCTCCACATCCGGCTTCTTCACCTGCGGGATCGTCGGGGGGAGCTGAGGAGTATTTCTGTGTGTAATAATGCCCTTTTGCAGGGAAAAACTCATTCTGATTGGCTGTGCCTGGCTCCCTAGTGGGTTGGCCTATACCCTCCCAGGCCCACCCATGGCCGCGCCCCTGCCCAGTTATAGGAAATCCATAGATTACAACCTAATGTATTTATTTCCAGTTTTTCTCAATTGCTAAAACACAATTTCTGAAACCTTGCTCCATTTCCTGAAAACATTAAACACAAAACCTCATCTTCAAGCACTATTTACGAAACCTCTGACTCCTCTCGCAAAATGAATCATTCGTCTCAAAACAGTTTTACCTGTGTTCAAAATCAAACACTGTTCTCAAATCATAAACAAAGTGATCAAAATGATATACACTCTCAAGCAGTTACTAAACAATACACAGAAAAATAGAAAACACATTGTTCAAAACATACAGTTCTCAGGGAGAAGTACATTTTTAATCTCAAAACAAATGTCATATGTTTCCGTCATTGTCTTTTGATGAACGAAAACATGTTCTATCATTGTAGCTCAAAATTGATCAGAAATTACTACTTTTGTTTTTTGTTCTTCCTCCTCCTTGTACCCCTATTTTTACAGTACTGTACCCTGCATCTCACAAACTTGTCCTTTGTCTCTGTGATACTGTAATTCTTGTTCTTTGTTGATATGAACCTGCAACCAGTCAAAATCTATTGCGCAGTCAGTACTGTTAACAAATGGAAAGCACAATGTTCAGGGCCATACAATGTGTCCATTGTACAGTATACAGCCTACAATGCACTGTACTACAGTATACAATACTAAAAGGGACAAAAATCAATGGAGTAAACATGTGATCAATGTGCTTCTTCTTGTCTTTGGGCTGGGTCAGGCCAGAGCACTTCGTCGACATCACAAGCAATATTGTCCCTCCTGAGGCAACGGGGGAAGAAGCCTCTTGTGTGCCGTATCCAGCCCTGACATGATTCCTCACATATATCACCACAGGTTAAATCCATGGCTTGCAGCAGATTTACTCTGGTGTAGGGTTGTCTATCATACACTTTCAATCTCCAAGAGGAGAAAAACTCCTCAATCGGATTCAGGAAAGGCGAGTATGGAGGGAGGTACAAGGTCATAAACTGCCCATTGATGTTAAACCATTACCTTACCTGAGCAGCTCGGTGGAAACTGACATTGTCCCACACTATCACATAGGTGGGAATGGGATTCTCATTTAGCTCTTGACCCTGCTGCTCTTGAACCTGCTGCTCAAATAAAATATATCTTAGATTGGCAATAAATCTTAGAAGGTGCCGGGTGTTATATGGCCCGAGTGTAACATGGTGATGTAGAACACCATGGTTGCTGATAGCAGCACAGATTGTGACATTGCCGCCTCGTTGACCAGGGACTTCAACAATGGCCCGCTGTCCAATCATGTTTCGGCCTCTCCTTCTTCTCTTTGTTAGATTGAAGCCTGCTTCATTGACAAAGATGAACTCATGGGGTCTGTCCAAGGATTCCAAGTCAAATATTGTCTGTGTAGAAATACAATATACTGTATGTAGGATTTTGTAAGTCGTACAGAGACAGTGCTATACTGTAGAGTACAATTAGGCCTACTGTATGCACTTCTGATTCACATACATTGTATGTACTGAAGAGTAATGTCATTCACATAGTATGTGTTAGTACTGTAGACAATCTGGATTACAGTAAATGTTTCTGAATGTACACTTACTTGCACATACTGAGCTCACAGTTCTTTCACCCTTGGTGAGTTGCGCTCAAAAAGTACTCTGTATACTTGTTTCATTCGCATCCTGTTACGATGGAGGACACGGTCAATAGTGGAAATGCTCACACTGTCGATTCCCTGGAAGTGTGTGTTGTCTTGTATCACTCGTTCCTGGATTTCTCTGAGTCGTATTGCATTATCTTGAAGGACCATGCCAACTATAACGGCCTCTTGCTCCCGAGTGAATATAGCTGTCCTTCCACCTGCATGTGGCAGAATGCAGGTGTAGTTGTAGTTGTGTAGTTACAAAACATATTCATGCAGTACAATACATACAGTGATTAACTTTACAAATGTCTATTGAAACAGCTGCATATAGTGTAGTACAGTAAATTTGCAATTACAAAAATACAGTAGTATACTGTACCTGTTCTCTTCTCTGAATGTCCTTACTATGGTGGAGACAGAAAATCGGCTCAAATTGGGTTGCACTCTAAGTCCTGCTTCCCTCATTGTCAGTCCATGGACAAGAACATGGTCTATGACTGTTGCTTGAATTTCATCAGATATTTCCACTCTTTGTCTTCCTCTTCCTCTTCGTCCTCCTCTTCCTCTTTCTTGCACTCCTCCTCCTCTTCCTCCTCGTCGCCCACCTGGCATACGCACTCGTCCTCGTACTCTCACATTGTTTCTTCTATCCATTCTCAGACTTTCTCCTTCCCACCTTCAACAACCTGTTTGCTCTCTGAACTGGCTTATATTGGTTGTGTCGCATCATTTGAAACAGGTTAAATCAATTTTGAGTGGTTGTGTTCAATCAATGACATGTGTTCTCTATTTGTATTTGATTGTTGCCACTTGTGTTTACCAGTATGGATGACATGTGCATTAGAGTGCAGAATGTGTTTTGAGAATGAGAATGTATTTAGAGTTTTGCTGAAAAGTCTAAGTGAGATCTGCAAATTGTGTTTTACCATGTGAAATGGTTTAAGGTATTGACAACAGACTGCATAATTAGCTAAATGAGTCCAGGCAACTGAGAACTTTGTTCAGCCAATGGGTTTTAGTGTTTTAGCAATTGAGAAAAACTGTAAATTGACTGATTTCCTTATATGAACTGTAAGTCAGCAAATTCTTGCATGTTGCCTTTATATTTTTGTTCAGTATATTTCAGTGGTCACCAACCTTTTCTGAGTCAAGATCACTCGCAGTCAAAAAGCAAGTCAAGATTTACCGCTCAGATTCTTTTTTTTAAACATGACTTTAAAAATGTAACATTAACCTAATTAAAACTGTTCTGTATGAATGAGGTTTGTGCAGTAGGCCTAATACATTATCACAGCATATTGGCTATATGCCTGGCCTGCCAATATTGTTATTCTCTGACCATATTATATTTCAAAACTCGAGCTTTAATAACAAAATAGAGGTCAAATAATGACGTCAGTGAACTTCATGTCGCGAGTTTCCGAGTTGGATGACCGTTCTAAACGATGTTTCCCAGTCGGATCTATTTTTTCCCAGTTGTCTTGAACACGGCATGAGTCAGTGGAGGGAGGGAGAGAACAGCCGAGGGTCCGCCTCTCACGGTCCCTGCTCTCTCCTTCCTTTCCTCCAGTGAGACTGACCAGAGAGAGTGGACTGTCTTCCACCTGATGATAAAACTCGAGTCGCACCGCATCTGCCTCAGGCATAAATTAATGTTATTCCTATGACCAGAGAAAGTGAAATACTCCTCGATATTAAAATAGACAATTAGACGAGCTGCTAATAATAATAATAAAAACACAGGGCTATCGATACACTTGGCTACTCATTCGTTGCAACTACAGTGAGAGTGGAAGTAGACAGAAGCGCGTTTCATGTTATGGAATAGTAATGAATAAAAACAGTGACATTGTTGAATAAAACTTAGACATGAACTCCGTCATAAAAACAGCAGCTCTTTGCGCTACTATTTGACAGTCTCTCTCTGTTCATATTTTTAAAAGTTATGAAATCTCACGTAGGCTAGTATTAAACTTTGCTACGCCCGAACCTTGGAAGCTGTAGGGAGGCACGATGATTTGAGCTATGCGATTGGCCAGGGCAGTAGGCTCACTCGATTTAGCCACAGATCTGCCGGTCCGCCAGGTAAACAGAGTTAGTCATTTCAGACAAATGAAATGGTTCAAAATGCGAACACCTTGCCTACCCAGGTCGCAGGACTTCTGAATCAAGTGCAACAGCGCAATGCGAAAGAAAAAAATGAGCGCACCCGGCAGTGGCGATTTTAGCATGTCAATTTTGGTGGGGCAAACTCAACATGTATTTTTTTATGCATGCCAGCAAAGCAGCTACACAACACAACACAACACTAAACAATACATGAATTGCACTATAATGGTGACAAGCGGTGCCCACGAACTGCTAGCGCCTACATAAAGCTGTCTCAACAGCAGAGCTTTATTTTCAGCACCATGGAGTGAATCCTTACACTCTAAAAAGTAAGGTTCCTGGAGGACCCTTTAGGGGGTTCTTCAAATTGAAACTGTGGGGGAACCCCTATAAGTTCTTCGAAGAACTCTTTAAAGGGGTTCTTCAAAGAACCCCTTTCAATGGATCCTCAAATAACCTTTTGAGATTAATTTTTGAGCTACTCCCCCCTCCCCTATTATTATTAGTAATATGCTTAACAATAACAACAATTACACAATATCTTAGTTGTCAGTGTTTATTAGGATTTTAGTGGCAAAGCAGAATAAAAAAATCTAAATATAAGGTAAACTCCCGGCAGAGCCAATGTGTATATCCTTTGGCATGTTGATGTTAATGTGTTGATGTTCTCCATATCCATAGCCAGAATGATTTTGCAGTGCATGGTGATCAAACATGTTTCCTGTTATATTCATCAGAGGTGTAGGGGGGGTGAAGTCTGTGAATCAAAAAAATAGTAATTATACAGATGATTAACAAAACATGCACAGGACAGTATTCATACCTTAGCTTTTGTGGTAAATGTGGATGAATAAAACTATTTTGATAATGGTTTTCATACACATACCTTGTCCATAATGTAGAGGCCTATGGGATTTTCCTTGAAGAAGACGAGATTAGTGTCCTGTACACTACTGGATTGTACACTACTGGTCAAAAGTTTTAGAACACCTACTCATTCAAGGGTTTTTCTTTATTTTTACTATATTCAACATTGTATAATAATAGTGAAGACATTAAAACTATGACATTTACATTTTAGCAGACGCTCTTATCCAGAGCGACTTACAGTTAGTGAATACACATTTTTAAAAAAAGAAATTATACTGGCCCCCCGTGGGAATCAAACCCACAACCCTGGCGTTGCAAACGCCATGCTCTATCAACTGAGCTACATCCCTGCCGGCCATTCCCTCCCCTACCCTGGGCCAATTGTGCGCCGCCCATGAGTCTCCCGGTCGTGGCCGGCTGCGACAGAGCCTGGATTCAAACCAGGATCTCTGCGATGCAGTGCCTTAGACCACTGCGCCACTCAGGAGGTAATACATATGGAATCATGTAGTAACCCAGAAAGTGTTAAACAAATCAAAATATATTTTATATTTGAGATTCTTCAAATAGCCACCCTTTGCCTTGATGACAGATTTGCACACTCTTGGCATTCTCTAAACCAGCTTCATGAGGTAGTCACCTGGAATGCATGTCAATTAACAGGTGTGCCTTCTTAAAAGTTAATTTGTGAAATTTCTTTCCTTCTTAATGCGTTTGAGCCAATCAGTTGTGTTGTGATAATTTGGTAAGAGACCAAGTCCATATTAGGGCAAGAACAGCTCAAATAAGCAAAGAGAAATGACAGTCCATCATTACTTTAAGACATGAAGGTCAGTCAATACGGAACATGTCAAGAACTTTTAAAGTTTCTTGAAGTGCAGTAGCAAAAATTCATCAAGCGCAATGATGAAACTGGCTCTCATGAGAACCGCCACAGGAATGGAAGACCCAGAGTTACTTCTGCTGCAGAGGATAAGTTCATTAGAGTTACCAGCCTCAGAAATTGCAGCCCAAATAAATGCTTCACAGAGTTCAAGTCACAGACACATCTCAACATCAACTGTTCAGAGGAGACTGTGTGAATCAGCCCTTCATGGTCGAATTGCTGCAAGGAAACCACTACTAAAGGACACCAATAAGAAGACGAGATTTGCTTGGGCCAAGAAACACAAGCAATGAACATTAGACCGGTGGAAATGTATCCTTTGGTCTGGAGTCCAAATGTGAGATTTTTGGTTCCAACCACCGTGTCTTTGTGAGACGCGGTGTGGGTGAACGGATGATCTCCGCATGTGTATTTCCCACCGTAAAGCATGGAGGAGGAGGTGTTATGGTGTGGGGGTGCTTTGCTGGTGACACTGTCTGTGATTTATTTAGAATTCAAGGCACACTTAACCAGCATGGCTACCACAGCATTCTGCAGCGATACGCCATCCCATCTGGTTTGGGCTTAGTGGGACTATCATTTGTTTTTTAACAGGACAATGACCCAACACACCTCCAGGCTGTGTAAGGGCTATTTGACCGAGAAGGAGAGTGATGGAGTGCTGCATCAGATGACCTGGCCTCCACAATCCCCCGACCTCAACCAAATTGAGATGGTTTGGGATGAGTCGGACCGCAGAGTGAAGGAAAAGCAGCCAACAAGTGCTCAGCATATGTGGGAACTCCTTCAAGACTGTTGGAAAAGCATTCCAGGTGAAGCTGGTTGAGAGAATGCCAAGAGTGTGCAAAGCTGTCATCAAGGCAAAGGGTGGCTATTTGAAGAATCTCAAATATAAAATATATTTGGATTTGTTTAACACATTTTTGGTTACTACACAATTCCATTTGTGTTATTTCATAGTTTTGTAGAAAATAGTACAAATAAAGAAAAACCCTTGAATGAGTAGGTGTTCTAAAACTTTTGACCGGTAGTGTACATGTGATCTGCATAACATACCAATACCAATTGACATACCTTTGTATGCCTCCTCGTCTGTAAACATGCAGACAAACACAAAAGTGAGCAGTTCAGTCATCTGCACCCAATACAGCTAGCCTTCAACATATTCTCATAGCCTACATATTCTTACCTCTTTGTTGATTGATATCCATTGAATTGTGGTCCTCTGTAGCTCAACTGGTAGAGCACGGCGCTTGTAACACCAAGGTAGTGGGTTCGATCCCCGGGACCACCCATACACAAAAATGTATGCACGCATGACTGTAAGTCGCTTTGGATAAAAGCGTCTGCTAAATGGCATATTATTATTATTTTGAATAGTATCCATTTACTGTTTTTAGAAAGATTTGCACAAATATGTAAAGATAGATGGTATCATCATAAAACAATATCAATTTAGATCATACAAGGGACAACCTTATCTTAAATTGTGGAGATCTTTAAATTTTTCAGTTACAGTTGAAATCGGATGTTTACATACACCTTAGCTAAATCCATTTAAACTCAGTTTTTCACAATTTCTGACATTTAATCCTAGTAGAAATTCCCTGTCTTAGGTCAGTTAGGATCACCACTTTATTTTAAGAATGTGAAATGTCCGAATAATAGTAGAGAGAATTATTTATTTCAGCTTTTATTTCACATTCCCAGTGGGTCAGAAGTTTACATACACTCAATTAGTATTTGGTAGCATTGCCTTTAAATTGTTTAACTTGGGTCAAATGTTTTGGGTAGCCTTCCACAAGCTTCCCACAATAAGTTGGGGGAATTTTGGCCCATTCCTCCTGACAGAGCTTGTGTAACTGAGTCAGGTTTGTAGGCCTCCTTGCTCGCACACGCTTTTTCAGTTCTGCCCACACATTTTCTATAGGATTGAGGTCAGGGCTTTGTGATGGCCACTCCAATACCTTGACTTTGTTTGTCCTTAAGCCATTTTGCCACAACTTTGGAAGTATGCTTAGGGTCATTGTCCATTTGGAAGACCCATTTGCGACCAAACTTTAACTTCCTGACTGATGTCTTGAGCTGATCCAGTTTGTGATCGTGACCACCCACATCTGGCAGTACTTCTTCATGAAGGACTGTCCCTACCAGTTCCCCATCTTCATCTACATCATCGGCCTCTACGGCCTGGTCTTCCTCCTCCTCTTCCTCAACTTCTGGCACCACGCCTACACCAAGGGCAAGAGGCTGCCCAAGGTCCTTCAGGCTAAAACCTGGGCCGACCCCTACAACAAAACCAATGGCCAAAACAACAGTGAAATAACTAACGGGAATGGTTTCCATCACAACAAGGATGAGTGACAGGGTGTCCCCAGTTGGTAGAGCATGGCGCTTGCAACGCCAGGGTTGTGGGTTCGTTTCCCACAGGGGGCCAGAATGAAAATGTATGCACTCACTAACTGTAAGTCGCTCTGGATAAGAGCGTCTGCTAAATGACTGAAATGTAAATGTAAAATGTAATGTTGCTTCAATATATCCACATAATTTTCCTTCCTCATGATGGCATCTATTTTGTGAAGTGCACCAGTCCCTCCTGCAGCAAAGCACCCCCACAGCATGATGCTGCCACCCCGTGCTTCACGGTTGGGATGGTGTTTTTTGGCTTACAAGCAACCCCCTTTTTCCTCCAAACATAACAATGGTCATTATGGCCAAACAATTCTATTTTTGTTTCATCAGACCAGAGGACATTTCTCAAAAAAGTACGATCTTTGTCCCCATGTGCAGTTGCAAACCGTAGTCTGGCTTTTTTATGGCGGTTTTGGAGCAGTGGCTTCTTCCTTGCTGAGCGGCCTTTCAGGTTATGTCGATATAGGACTCGTTTTACTGTGGATATAGATATTTTTGTATCTGTTTCCTCCAGCATCTTCACAAGGTCCTTTGTTGTTGTTCTGGGATTGATTTGCACTTTTCGCACCAAAGTACGTTCATCTCTAGGAGACAGAACGTGTCTCCTTCCTGAGCGGTATGACGGCTGCGTGGTCCCATGGTGTTTATACTTGCGTACTATTGTTTGTACAGATGAACGTGGTACCTTCAGGCATTTGGAAATTGCTCCCAAGGATGAACCGGACTTGTGGAGGTCTACAATTTTTTTTCTGAGGTCTTGGCTGATTTCTTTATATTTTCCCATGATGTCAAGCAAAGAGGCACTGAGTTTGAAGATAGGCCTTGAAATACATCCACAGGTATACCTCCAATTGACTCAAATGATGTCAATTAGCCTATCAGAAGCTTCTAAAGCCAGGAATGGGCCAAAATTCACCCAACATATTGTGGGAAGCTTGTGGAAGACTACCCAAAACGTTTGATGCAAGTTAAACAATTTAAAGGTAATGCTACCAAATACTAATTGAGTGTTTGTAAACTTCTGACCCACTGGGAATGTGATGAAATAAATAAAAGCTTAAATAAATCATTCTCTCTACTATTATTCTGACATTTCACAATCTTAAAATAAAGTGGTGATCCTAACTGACATAAGACAGGGAATTTTTACAAGGATTAAATGTCAGGAATTGTGAAAAACTGAGTTTACATTTGTTTGACCTAATCAAGGTCTTGGTTAGAAACATCCAATTAGTTTAATTTGGTGTTAGTTAAAGCAGGGCTGGAGCAAAAGCATATACACCGTGTATCTGTTCAGGAGAAGGGTTGGCTACCCCTTGACCTAAGCCAAAGTCGCCAACATTCCACTGTTTTAATAGCCTCAGTCGGTGCCAGTCATGTTTCTGCTTCAGCTGACTTGTCATTTTGTGGCACCCTATTCCCTATGTAGTGCACTGCTTTTGACCAGAGCCCTATGTGACTTGGTCAAAAGTAGTGCACTACAAAGGGAATAGGGTGTAATTTGGGATGCAGCTATACAGTGAGGGAAAAAAGTATTTGATCCCCTGCTGATTTTGTACATTTGCCCACTGACAAAGAAATGATCAGTCTACAATTTTAATGGTAGGTTTATTTGAACAGTGAGAGACAGAATAACAACAACAAAATCGAGAAAAATGCATGTCAAAAATGTTATAAATTGATTTGCATTTTAATTAGGGAAATAAGTATTTGACCCCTCTGCAAAACATGACTTAGTACTTGGTGGCAAAACCCTTGTTGGCAATCACAGAGGTCAGACGTTTCTTGTAGTTGGCCACCAGGTTTGCACACATCTCAGGAGGGATTTTGTCCCACTCCTCTTTGCAGATCTTCTCCAAGTCATTAAGGTTTCTCCCTCCACAGATTTTCTATGGGATTCAGGTCTGGAGACTGGCTAGGCCACTCCAAGACCTTAATGTGCTTCTTCTTGAGCCACTCCTTTGTTGCCTTGGCCATGTGTATTGGATCATTGTCATGCTCGAATACCCATCCACGACCCTTTTTCAATGCCCTGGCTGAGGGAAGGAGTTTCTCACCCAAGATTTGACGGTACATGGCCCCGTCCATCGTCCCTTTGATGCGGTGAAGTTGTCCAGTCCCCTTAGCAGAAAAAACCCCCCCAAAGCATAATGTTTCCACCTCCATGTTTGACGGTGGGGATGGTGTTCTTGGGGTCATAGGCAGCATTCCTCCTCCTCCAAACACGGCGAGTTGAGTTGATGCCAAAGAGCTCCATTTTAGTCTCATCTGACCACAACACTTTCACCCAGTTCTCCTCTGAATCATTCAGATGTTCATTGGCAAACTTCATTAACATTAACATTTTAGTCATTTAGCAGACGCTCTTATCCAGAGCGACTTACAGTTAGTGAGTGCATACATTATTTTTTTATTTTTCATACTGGCCCCCTGTGGGAATCGAACCCACAACCCTGGCGTTGCAAACGCCATGCTCTGCCAACTGAGCTACATCCCTGCCGGCCATTCCCTCCCCTACCCTGGACGACGCTGGGCCAATTGTGCGCCACTCCATGGGTCTCCCGGTCGTGGCCGGCTACTTCAGACGGGCATGTATATGTGCTTACTTGAGCAGGGGGACCTTGCGGGCGCTGCAAGATTTCAGTCCTTCATGGCGTAGTGTGTTACCAATTGTTTTCTTGGTGACTATGGTCCCAGCTGCCTTGAGATCATTGACAAGATCCTCCCGTGTAGTTCTGGGCTGATTCCTCACTGTTCTCATGATCATTGCAACTCCACGAGGTGAGATCTTGCATGGAACCCCAGGCCGAGGGAGATTGACAGTTATTTTGTGTTTCTTCCATTTGCGAATAATCGCACCAACTGTTGTCACCTTCTCACCAAGCTGCTTGGCGATGGTCTTGTAGCCTTTCCAGCTTTGTGTAGGTCTACAATATTGTCCCTGACACCCTTGGAGAGCTCTTTGGTCTTGGCCATGGTGGAGAGTTTGGAATCTGATTGATTGATAGCTTCTGTGGACAGGTGTATTTTATACAGGTAACAAACTGAGATTAGGAGCACTCTCTTTAAGAGTGTGCTCCTAATCTCAGCTCGTTACCTGTATAAAATACACCTTGGAGCCAGAAATCTTTCTGATTGAGAGGGGGTCAATTACTTATTTCCCTCATTAAAATGCAAATCAATTTATAACATTTTTTACATGTGTTTTTCTGCATTTTTTTGTTGTTATTCTGTCTCTCACTGTTCAAATAAACCTACCATTAAAATTCTAGACTGATCATTTCTTTGTCAGTGGGCAAACGTACAAAATCAGCAAGGGATCAAATACTTTTTTCCCTCACTATAGTGTTGTTCAGCAGAGAAACCGTTAGGTACCCAGGCTAGTGTGTGGGTGGAAAGAATATCCCTATTAACCAGTTCTTTGCGCTAATAATGTACTTGTAAAAAACATTGCACTCAAGCACGTCCAGTTCTGCCCTCCATCGTTGTCATTAGGAAAAGACACTGATGAGTCTGAACTGTAGATGGGGAAATTATTTATTGGGAAATCAAACTTGAAGCTGATCCAGTGTTATAGAAATGTTATATGAAAGTATGCTACTTTCACTAACAAACAAATTGAACATTAAGAAAATGGATCCATTCCAACAGTCAGCGCTTACCTGCCATTCCAACCTCTTTGTACCCGTTTTGAATATCTATGTATCTTTCTCTCTGCGTTCTGTAAATACGTTGCTCATCAGATTTGGTCAATGATAGTTGAGACAGTTCTGCTTCCCTCTAGTGGTAAAATGGCAGTAGCGATATTACTGTGCCTTCCAATGCTCACTTCCCAGTGTCTGGTTATATTTATTTAGAATAATGTTACATCCATCCATTGCTTTAGAAAAGGCATATTTTGATAGACTAAATAAGCATTGAGACTTGAACAATTCGGTTTATTTTACTTTTCTGTACATTCTTTCCATATCAAACATGTTATTTGGTTCTCAAAAAGAAATGAGGACCAAGGCACTCTTCATATAATTAATTAGAATGCCTTTATTAGTATGGCATGTTCAATAGAAACAATATTCGTTTTTTATCCGACGCGTTTCGGCTGCATGGCCTTCGTCGGGGAGTACAAAGAAATAATACAATGTCCTCTTTTGAACAGCTTTTCCAATTAGCCCTAATTTGAAGAGGGAGTGGTTACAAAGTTGATTGGACACACCTAGTAAGCAATACTATACACATTAAAAAGTGAAATACTGTAACTATGTTATCATACAAATACAACTCCAAGTTATAAGTATCAGAACACTTAGAAAGGTAGTTCTAACCTTAAATATGACTGGGAAAAGTGTGAAAAATAAGAAAGCAATATATACCAGCAAAACATGAACAACAACAGTCTAAACATGGCTGAGGGCAATTGAGCACAATGTCCACTAGATGACAGCAAATGGACCTATCACAACCCTACAGGAAGGGTGAGAAATCCATATCTTCATTTAAACCAGGGTATTTAGTGGCCTGTAGTTTGTAAATCCAAAAACTTTCCCTTTGGTTTAACTGTTTCAGACGGTCCCCTTTTCTAATAGAGGCCGGAATATGACCAATACCCATAGCTTGTAGGGAGGCAGGGTTACCATGGTGTAAGGACTTGTAGTGCCTTGCCATGGGGTAGTCTTCATTGCCTACCCGTATAGCGTACTTGTGTTCCGCTAAGCGGTCTTGAAAGCGTCTCTTTGTCCGTCCAATGTAGAACCCTTGCACTGTGGACATTCCAATCTATAGATGACATGAGTGGTTGTGCAGTTAATGAAATGCTTGACGTAATACTCATTTTTGGAAGCCGTGTCAACAAAATACTTTTTCTGTGCAATATTTCTGCAATGGTTGCTTGCACTGGTTACAGTTAAAAGAGCCCTTGGGTTTGTGGTCAAGGCACATTTTTTGAGAGTCACGCGGAAGATAACTGTGGACAAATTTGTAATTTAGGGTAGGACATCTCTTAAAGCTTATGACTGGTGGCTCAGGAAAGACTTGGCATAGTAGCGTATCACTTTGGATGATTCCCCAATTATTTTTAATGATTATTTTAATGTTCTCTGCTTCAGTGCTGTATTTTGTAACAAAATACACTCTCTCTGATGTATCACGAGGCACTCCCCTTCGCAACAAGTTCTCTCTGTCAAGTAATCCAGCCGATTCAAGAAGCGATTCTCCAATTCAGCAGATTTGACACTGTAGTCTGTTTCCTGATTGGAATTGGCCATATGGAATATTCTCTTTTAGCCTTTTGGGGTGAAAGCTGTCTGCCCTCAGAATGGTAGTCCCATCTGTAGGCTTCCTAAAGATTGATGTGTGCAAACAACCTTTGTCATTTTTACTAATGTCGAGGTCCAAAAAATGAATGTTGTCCTTGCTGTACTCCACAGTTAGTTTGATGTTAGGATTAATGCTGTTAAGGTATTGGAAGGAAATAAATTCATCTTCTGAGCCGGACCAAAACAGGCAAACATCAATATAGCGTCCCCACTATATAATCCGGTAAATGAAATGGTTATTAGAAGGATCCAAAATGAAGTCATTTTCCCATTTACCCAAGTACAAACCAGCGTAGGAAGGGCTGTAGCAGGCTCTCATGGCATCCTTTGACCAAAGAGCACCTTCTGTCTACCAACATTTACTATTGTGTACTTTAGTAGGGCTTCCCTTCCTCCTCTTTCTATATGTTATTTGGTTCGTTTTGCTTAGCATATGTCGCACCAAACGTGTCACTCAGGAAACGTATATATATTATTCGGCATGTTTTCCTCTCAGGTTAAATGTATTATCTTGATCTCCAAATTATTACTAAATGTTTAAGCCGTATCCTTCTGTGTGCACCTTATAACTCCACAGAGAACATACAGTCCATTAGCATGCCCTAACCCATAACGTTACTCCCTCTCTCAGAATAGGAACAGAGGTTTACATTCCACTGTAATGCACTGCATATTTAATTTGACTAGAACAATACCCACATAGGAAACAGCAATTCATGTTTCTTTACCCGAATACTGAAAGTAATGTTATGAGGCTTGTAAGATATTTTGACATAATGTATTCGTAAACAGTTATTTCATTCCAGGGGTCACATGCTTTGGGGGACATTGTGGTGAATAAAAATGTTTAGTATTTGACTACTTTGTTACATTTATTTTATTACAAAAGACTTTAGGCACACAGTACCTTCATTTCCATCAAAGAAAAGGACAGATTTACCATCTATTATAAGACTGGTACATACTGGCATAAAAAAAGACCAAACATCTTAAAGCAGGGTTCTACTCATTAGGCACCAAACAGACAAACTTGTCCAATAAGAAAACGCTTGTTTTTCGTAGCCCGTTGCAATTTGTGTTGCTATTGTGTGCCCTAATGAACAGGACCCTGAAACCAGATTAAAGTAGGCCTCAGCTATTCCAGTCCTGGAAGCGGAAACAGTCACTGGCGATCTTCCAGACAGGCTGATCACTGGTGGGCGACACCTGGGCTGTGAGGAGGAAGTTCTGATTGAAGTAGCGCTGCTTTTGTCCGTCAAATTTCACCTGTCCTGCCGTCACCACCAGCAGCGTGGTCTGGCCCTGGGTTGCCTGTTCTGTATGGGAATATGAAGAGGGGAAAGTGGTGTTGGCCTCGTTCCACCATCCTCATCACATTCTGTTTCTCTATTGTGTGATTATTTAAAATGGGTCTATATATTTCTACCTCTAAAAACATGTTCCCATGTTTAACGGAATTTATAATATCACGTGCATACGATTCAATCATTGTTTACATTGTAACTGAAGAAATCCCAATAAGAATTGAGGGAAAGAATCTCACCGTGCACTGGCTGACAGTCCAGAGTCTGGATACTGAACTCGCTGGAGGGAAGCGACTCAAAGAACTCCCCGAGAGCAGCCTGCCCTGACACAGCATTCCCATTCCAGACCAGGGTCGCTTTGTCCAGGTAGAGCCGCATCAAGTTCTGGGTGAAGATCAACAGTATGGGAGTTAGCCATCTAGCTACAGTTGAGATATTTCAAGACACTCACAAAGAAGTGTTTTCCCAAAGTAGGGATACCAAGGGAGGTGTTGGTACCTGTGGAACCGCTGTGGTTCAGTGCATTCACACAGAGCCCAGATGAATCAGTACCTACCCTCCTTTTCTTGTCCATGCAGTCATAATATATGTTGGTGAACTCCTCTGAATACCTGCATGACGCGTCAACGTGGGTCCTGAAATCCTGGAGAAGGGACAAGAGGTGTGATTGATTATGAATGACAGCCATTAACAAAAACTTGGTCAATACAGAGATATGCCTTAAAATCTTTTTTAGGGGGAATAGTCAGACCATATAATTAAATATTATAACTAATTTAATTCAATAGGATCTGTGTCAGACCATAGCAACCCTGCTGTTACAGGGCCAAGGGTTACAGCAGGGGTATGTGATTTTAGGTTTTAAAAAACACTTCAGGCCACTCTTGAATGTCTAAAACTAGATATAAAGTATGTAGAAATTATAATGGGCCTATCAGTTTTAAAATAACTGGCCTTTTTGTGGCCCGCAAATTGCTTCTGACGAATAAATTGGTCCCTAGAAAAATCTGTGCAGCCCTCCCCTGAATTTTGAAATCTCGATGTGGCCCTCCAGCTGAAATGATTGCCCACCCCTGGGTTACAGGGAGACCAGTCTTCCTCAGATCTAATTCAAATTATGGCACAGGAGGTAGTAGTGAGCTTGCGCTGTAAGAATGTCACTAGGTATCAGTTCACCATGATGAAGGCCTGTAGGTAGGTGGTAGTTCACCATGATGAAGGCCTGTAGGTAGGTGGCAGTTCACCATGATGAAGGCCTGTAGGTAGGTGGCAGTTCACCATGATGAAGGCCTGTAGGTAGGTTGCAGTTCACCATGATGAAGGCCTGTAGGTAGGTGGCAGTTCACCATGATGAAGGCCTGTAGGTAGGTGGCAGTTCACCATGATGAAGGCCTGTAGGTAGGTGGCAGTTCACCATGATGAAGGCCTTTAGGTAGGTGGCAGTGGGGTAACATCTCACAGCAAGAACTGGCAAATCTGGTGCAGTCCATGAGGAGATGCACTGCAGTACTTAATGCAGCTGGTGGCCACACCAGATACTGACTGTTACTTTTGACCCCCCCCCCCCTCCCCTCCTTTGTTCAGGGACACATTATTCAATTTCTGTTAGTCACGTCTGTGGAACTTTGTATGCCATTTAGCAGACGCTTTTATCCAAAGCGACTTACAGTCATGTGTGCATACATTTTTACGTATGGGTGGTTCCGGGGATCGAACCCACTACCCTGGCGTTACAAGAGCCATGCTCTACCAATTGAACTACAGAGAACTTGTTCAGTTTATGTCTCAGTTGTTGAATCTTGTTACGTTCATACAAACATTTACACATGTTAAGTTTGCTGAAAATAAACGGCTGCATTGGTGGCACCAGTGGGATAATCCCACAGTATCAGGCTTTTGTGAAGTGTCCCGCTGTTCACATTTAGGGTTTGTGAAGGTGTAGTGTAGGCCAAGTGGTGTAGTTAGGTATCTTTACAAATATATAACCCAACAACTAAAAACGTAGCTACAACAAAGAACACGAGGCTAGCTAACGTTAGTTAGCTTATTCTAGTTAGCTAACTAGCCAATAAACTTACAACTGTTGCAGCCATAGCTGTAGAGCTTTTCTGTGGTATTTCCTTGTCGTCAAATGGACAGGCAATTTCTACATTTCAGAGATATATCATATACCACAGCACGCAACTTCAAAACCACGATGTTTATGAAAATGAGTGCGATTCAACATTATTTTTAAGTCGACGAGCGTGTGACGTAATTACTTCCGCTGGTCATACATCATGTTTCTTCAAAATAAAAGTCATTTGCACTCCCATCATTTCCAATCATATTGCAACACCATCATCTCCACAAACAAGTCTCCCCTATCCGACCCTACCAGTCTTCACACTACTGAAACACTGCAGCCCAATCAGAGCAGATCAACACTGAGTGGTTTCACCTACTCCCCCTATCTCAAACCTAGAATCATGGCCATCAACTCGGCCGCATACACTGACACATAATCAGTTAACCGCTTACATACTCTAACATTGAAATCTGGTAAATACACCCCTGCCCCCACCCTACCACTGACTTGATCCATTGAACCATCTGTATATAAAAATGAATAAAACGATTATCTATATATCTCTCCACACACCGTCTCTCCTGCCCTCAATCATATCCACATCTACACTTGGTTTCGGAAACAGCCACGGAGGGACGTTCCCCAATGCAATTGCCGGCCCTATCATTTTTTTCGTCATTTAGCAGACGCTCTTATCCATCCACCTAGGACATTTGGGGTTTCTTTACTTGATACAACTGTGACGTTTCATTCTACCAACACTGGAATTCCAGTAGTTTCACCCTTTCCCATCATAAAAAAATAAATAATAATCCACAGCGCAGCTATTTCGGTCCCTCTACAAATAGTGGAGCAAAATTCCCACCATACTGTTGGGGGCTTTTATTCTGAAACCTCAATTTAAGCGCACTTACCCCGGAAATAGAATCTAGGTAATTTCCTGAGTCATGTTGCTGTTTATTTCAGTCAAATTAACAGTTTAGTGAGTTGAGCTAGCTATTGTTCATGATGGAGCAAACTGTTTCAAATGTGGAAGTCTGTAATTTAGCCTTCACTGGTGAATTTGACAAATTAAAGGCATGCATTTTAACGGATAAATCGCTCGCTTGCAAAACGGACCAGGTAAATGATCTTTACTTGAAATTAATTACCAGCTAGCTAGCTGCTTCAGGCAGTAGTCAGTCAGTTAGCTGTTACACTATATATTCAAACGTATGTGGACACCCTTCGAATTAGTGGATTCGGCTATTTCAGCCACACCTGTTGCTGACAGGTGTATAAAATCGAGCACACATTCATGCAATCTCCATAGACAAACATTGGCAGTATAATTGCCTAACTGTAGAGCTTAGTGACTTTCAACGTGGCACTGTCAACCAACAAGTCAGTTCATAAAATATCTGCCCAGCAGTTTGTGAAATTTCTGCCCCGGTCAACTGAAAGTGCTGTTATTGTGAAGTGGAAATGTCTAGGAGCAACAACGGCTCAGCCGTGAAGCGGTAGGCCACACAAGCTCACAGAACGGGACTACCAAGTGCTGAAGCGTGTAAAAATCATCTGTCCCTCGGTTGCAACACTCACTACCGAGTTCCAAACTGCCTCTGGAAGCAAAGTCAGCAAAATAACTTTTAGTCGGGAGCTTCATGAAATGGGTTTCCATGGCCGAGCAGCCACACACAAGCCTAAGATCACCATGCGCAATGCCAAGCCTCATCTGTAGTGGTGTAAAGCTCGCCGCCATTGGACTCTGGAGCAGTGGAAACGCGTTCTCTGGAGTGATGAATCACGCTATACCATCTGGCAGGCCAACGGACGAATCTGGGTGTGGCGGATGCCAGGAGAACTCTACATGCCCGAATGCATAGTGCCAACTGTAAAGTTTGGTGGAGGAGGAATAATGGTCTGGGGCTATTTTTCATGGTTCGGGCTTGGCCCCTTAGTTCCAGTGAAGGAAAATCTTAATGCTACAGCATACAATGACATTCTAGACGATTCTGTGCTACCAACTTTGTGGCAATAGTTTGAGGAAGGCCCTTTCCTGTTTCAGCATGACAATGCCCCTGTGCACAATTCAAGGTCCATACAGAAATGGTTTATCGAGATCGGTGTGGAAGAACTTGACTGGCCTGCACAGAGCCCTGAGCTCAACCCCATCGAACATCTTTGGGATGAATTGGAACGCTGACTGCGAGCCAGGCCTAATTGCCCAACATCAGTGCCCGACCTCACTAATGCTCTTGTGGCTGAATGGAAGCAAATCAAAATGTGCCGAATACAACGGGTGTAGACCTTATCGTGAAATGCTTACTTACAAGCCCTTAACAAAAAATGCAGTTCAAGAAATAGTTAAGAAAATATTTACTAATTAAACTAATAAAAAGTAACACAATAACAATAACGAGGCTATATACAGGGAGTACCGGTACCGAGTCAATGTGCTGGGGAACAGGTTAGTCCAGGTCATTTGTACATGTAGTGAGGGGAAAAAGTATTTGATCCCCTGCTGATTTTGTTCGTTTGCCCACTGACAAAGAAATGATCAGTCTATAATTTTAATGGTAGGTTTTTTGAACAGTGAGAGACAGAATAACAACAAAAAAATCCAGAAAAACGCATGTCAAAAATGTTATGAATTGATTTGCATTTTAATGAGGAAAATAAGTATTTGACCCCTCTGCAAAACATGACTTAGTACTTGGTGACAAAACCCTTGTTGGCAATCAGAGGTCAGACGATTCTTGTAGTTGGCCACCAGGTTTGCACACATCTCGGGAGGGATTTTGTCCCACTCCTCTTTGCAGATCTTCTCCAAGTCATTAAGGTTTCGAGGCTGAATGTTTGGCAACTCAAACCTTCAGCTCCCTCCACAGATTTTCTATGGGATTCAGGTCTGGAGACTGGCTAGGCCACTCCAGGACCTTAATGTGCTTATTCTTGAGCCACTCCTTTGTTGCCTTGGCTGTGTGTTTTGGGTCATTTGTCATGCTGGAATACCCATCCACGACCCTTTTTTCAATGCCCCGGCTGAGGGAAGGAGGTTCTCACCCAAGATTTGACGGTACATGGCCCTGTCCATCGTCCCTTTGATGCAGTGAAGTTGTCCTGTCCCCTTAGCAGAAAAACACCCCCAAAGCATAATGTTTCCACCTCCATGTTTGACGGTGGGGATGGTGTTCTTGGGGTCATAGGCAGCATTCCTCCTCCTCCAAACACGGCGAGTTGAGTTGATGCCAAAGAGCTCAATTTTGGTCTCATCTGACCACAAAACTTTCACCCAGTTCTCCTCTGAATCATTCAGATGTTCATTGGCAAACTTCAGACAGGCATGTATATGTGCGTTCTTGAGCAGGGGGACCTTGCGGGTGCTGCAGGATTTCAGTCCTTCACGGCGTAGTGTGTTACCAATTGTTTTCTTGGTGACTATGGTACCAGCTGCCTTGAGATCATTGACAAGATCCTCCTGTGTAGTTCTGTGCTGATTCCTCACCGTTCTCATGATCATTGCAACTCCACAAGGTGAGATCTTGCATGGAGGCCGAGGGAGATTGACAGTTATTTTGTGTTTCTTCCATTTGCGAATAATCGCACCAACTGTTGTCACCTTCTCACCAAGCTGCTTGGCGATGGTCTTGTAGTCCATTCCAGCCTTGTGTAAGTCTACAATCTTGTCCCTGACATCCTTGGAGAGCTCTTTGGTCTTGGCCATGGTGGAGAGTTTGGAATCTGATTGATTGATAGCTTCTGTGGACAGGTGTCTTTTATACAGGTAACAAACTGAGATTAGGAGCACTCCCTTTAAGAGTGTGCTCCTAATCTCAGCTCGTTACCTGTATAAAAGACACCTGGGAGCCAGAAATCTTTCTGATTTGAGAGGGGGTGAAATACTTATTTCCCTCATTAAAATGCAAATCAATTTATAACATTTTTGACATGCGTTTTTCTGGATTTTTTTGTTGTTATTCTGTCTCTCACTGTTCAAATAAACCTACCATTAAAATTATAGACGGATCATTTCTTTGTCAGTGGGCAAACGTACAAATTCACCAGGGGATCAAATACTTTTTTCCCTCACTGTAGGTAGGGGTAAAGTGACTATGAATAGATAATAAACAGCGAGTAGCAGGGTGGGGTCAATGTAAATAATCTGGGTGTCCATTTGATTAATTGTTCAGCAGTCTTATTGCTTGGGGGTAGAAGCTGTTGAGAAGCCTTTTGGACCTAGACTTGGCGCTCCGGTACCACTTGCCGTGTGGTAGCAGAGAGAACAGTCTATGACTTTGGTGACTGGAGTCTTTGCCAATTTTTTGGGCCTTTCTCTGACACCGCCTGGTATATAGGTCCTGGAAGGCAGGAAGCTCTGTAGCACCCTCTGTAGCGCCTTACGGTCGGAGGCCGAGCAGTTGCCATACCAGGCGGTGATGCAACCAGTCAGGATGCTCTCCATGGTGCAGCTGTATAACTCTTTGAGGATCTGGGGACCCATGCCAAATCTTTTCAGTCTCCTGAGGGGAAAAAGGTGTTGTCATGCCCTCTTCACGACTGTCTTGGTGTGTTTGGACCATGATAGTTTGTTGGTGATGTGGACACCAAGGAACTTGAAACTCTCGACCCGCTCCACTACAGCCCCGTCGATGTGAATGGGGGCGTGTTCGGCCTTCCCTTTTCCTGTAGTCCATGATCATCTCCTTTGTCTTGCTCACGTTGAGGGAGAGGTTGTTGTCCTGGCACCACACTGCCAGGTCTCTGACCTCCTCCCTATAGGCTGTCTCATCGTTGTCTGTGATCAGGCCTACCACTATTGTGTCGTCAGCAAACTTAATGATGGTGTTGGAGTCATATTTGGCCACGCAGTCGTGGGTGAACAGGGAGTACAGGAGGGACTAAGCACGCACCCGTGTTGAGGATCAGATGTGTCATTGCCTACCCTTACCACCAGGGGGCGGCCCGTCAGGAAGTCCAGGATCCAGTTGCAGAGGGAGGTGTTTAGTCCCAAGGTCCTTAGCTTAGTGATGAGCTTTGTGGGCACTATGGTGTTGAACGCTGAGCTGTAGTCAATGAACAGCATTCTCACATAGGTGTTCCTTTTGTCCAGGTGGGAAAGGGCAGTGTGGAGTGCGATTGCGATTCTGTGGATCTGTTGGGGTGGTATGCGAATTGGAGTGGGTCTAGGGTTTCCGGGATGATGGTGTTGATGTGAGCCATGACCAGCCTTTCAAAGCATTTCATGGCTACTGACGTAAGTGCTACGGGGTGGTAGTCTTTTAGGCAGGTTACCTTCACTTTCACAGGGACTATGGTGGTCTACTTGAAACATGTACACTACCGTTCAAAAGTTTGGGTTCACTTAGAAATGTCCTTGTTTTTGAAAGAAAAGCAATTTTTTTGTCCATTAAAATAACATCAAATTGATCAGAAATACAGTGTAGACATTGTTAATGTTGTAAATGGCTGTTGTAGCTGTAAACGGCTGCTTTCTAAAAAATTGAATATCTACGTAGGCGTACAGAGGCCCATTATCAGCAACCAACAGTCCTGTGTTCCAATGGCACATTGTGTTTGCTAATCCAAGTTTATCATTTTAAAAGGCTAATTGATCATTAGAAAACCCTTTTGCAATTATGTTTGCACAGCTGAAAACTGTTGTGCTGATTTTAAAGAAGCAATACAACTGGCCTTCTTGAGAATAGTTGAGTATCTGGAGCATCAGCAATTGTGGGTTCGATTACAGGCTCAAAATGGCCAGAAACAAATAACTTTCTTCTGAAACTCGTCAGTCTATTCTTGTTCTGAGAAATGAAGACTATTCCATGTTGGAGTCGTGCTTGGCCACGCAATTAATCCCTATGATTTTGGAATGAGATGATCAACGAGCAGGTGTCCGCATACTTTTGGTCATGTAGTGTACATTTGCTGATACATCCACATGTCCCCTTCCTTATTCCTCCGGTCTCCTGTGCTCTTCCCCTCTCCCAGGACCAAAGGACCGCTCTCCACTGGGCCTGCTCGGCTGGACACATCAAGATCGTAGAGTTCCTGCTGGATCTGGGGGTGGAAGTCAACCAGCAAGATGATGTAAATATTGCAAAGTCATTGTCTGCAACATTGGACAATTATATTGACAGGTTGCATTGCAATAATTTTATTTTAAATTGGTCTACAGTTGATCTTGTAAGTGGATGTTTGATCTATTGAATGTTAATGTAGTGTAGTAACACAGATGAATAGGGGAGTTGGTTATACAGTGGGGAGAACAAGTATTTGATACACTGCCGATTTTGCAGGTTTTCCTACTTACAAAGCATGTAGAGGTCTGTAATTTTTATCATAGGTACACTTCAACTATGAGAGACGGAATCTAAAAATCCAGAAAATCACATTGTATGATTTTTAGGTAATTCATTTGCATTTTATTGCATGACATAAGTATTTGATCACCTACCAACCAGTAAGAATTCCGTCTCTCACAGACCTGTTAGTTTTTCTTTAAGAAGCCCTCCTGTTCTCCACTCATTACCTGTATTAACTGCACCTGTTTGAACTCGTTACCTGTATAAAAGACACCTGTCCACACACTCAATCAAACAGACTCCAACCTCTCCACAATGGCCAAGACCAGAGAGCTGTGTAAGGACATCAGGGATACAATTGTAGACCTGCACAAGGGTGGGATGGGCTACAGGACAATAGGCAAGCAGCTTGGTGAGAAGGCAACAACTGTTGGCGCAATTATTAGAAAATGGAAGAAGTTCAAGATGACGGTCAATCACCCTCGGTCTGGGGCTCCATGCAAGATCTCACCTCGTGGGGCATCAATGATCATGAGGAAGGTGAGGGATCAGCCCAGAACTACACGGCAGGACCTGGTCAATGGCCTGAAGAGAGCTGGGACCACAGTCTCAAAGAAAACCATTAGTAACACACTACGCCGTCATGGATTAAAATCCTGCAGCGCACGCAAGGTCCCCCTGCTCAAGCCAGCGCATGTCCCGTCTGAAGTTTGCCAATGACCATCTGGATGATCCAGAGGAGGAATGGGAGAAGGTCATGTGGTCTGATGAGACAAAAATAGAGCTTTTTGGTCTAAACTCCACTCGCCGTGTTTGGAGGAAGAAGAAGGATGAGTACAACCCCAAGAACACCATCCCAACCGTGAAGCATGGAGGTGGAAACATCATTCTTTGGGGATGCTTTTCTGCAAAGGGGACAGGGCGACTGCACCGTATTGAGGGGAGGATGGATGGGGCCATGTATCGCAAGATCTTGGCCAACAACCTCCTTCCCTCAGTAAGAGCATTGAAGATGGGTCGTGGCTGGGTCTTCCAGCATGACAACGAAACACACAGCCAGGGCAACTAAGGAGTGGCTCCGTAAGAAGCATCTCAAGGTCCTGGAGTGACCTAGCCAGTCTCCAGACCTGAACCCAATAGAACATCTTTGGAGGGAGCTGAAAGTCTGTATTGCCCAGCGACAGCCCCGAAACCTGAAGGATCTGGAGAAGGTCTGTATGGAGGAGTGGGCCAAAATCCCTGCTGCAGTGTGTGCAAACCTGGTCAAGACCTACAGGAAACGTATGATCTCTGTAATTGCAAACAAAGGTTTCTGTACCAAATATTAAGTTCTGCTTTTCTGATGTATCAAATACTTATGTCATGCAATAAAATGCAAATGAATTACTTAAAAATCATACAATGTGATTTTCTGGATTTTTGTTTTAAAGTCCGTCTGTTGAAGTGTACCTATGATAAAAATTACAGACCTCTACATGCTTTGTAAGTAGGAAAACCTGCAAAATCGGCAGTGTATCAAATACTTGTTCTCCCCACTGTAAGTATCTTTAGTGGTAGTTTCCCCTAAATGCAAGTCTATTTCTACGGCCTCTGCCAAGAGGTTTGGAGACTCTGGACCTGTATGTTACAAGAGATGTGCATTCGGAAATTATTCAGACCCCTTGACTTTTTCCACATTTTGTTACGTTACAGCTTTATTCTAAAATTGATTAAATTGTTTTTTCCCCTCGTCAATCTACACACGATACCCCGTAATGACAAAGCAAAAACAGGTTTTTAGAAATTTGTGCAAGTTTATAAAATAAAAAACCCCCGGAAATATCACATTTACATAAGTATTCAGACCCTTTACCCAGTACTTTGTTGAAGCACCTTTGGCAGCGATTACAGCCTCAAGTCTTTTTTGGTATGAAGCTACAAGCTTGGCACACCTGTATTTTGGGAGTTTCTCCCATTCTGCTCTCTAGATGCTCTCAAGCTCTGTCAGGTTGGATAGGGAGCGTCGCTGCACCGCAATTTTCAGGTCTCTCCAGAGATGTTAGATCGGGTTCAAGTCCGGGCTCTGGCTGGGTCATTCAAGGACATTCAGAGACTTGTCCCGAAGCCACTCCTGCGTTGTCTTGGCTCTGTGCTTAGGGTCGTTGTCCTGTTGGAAGGTGAACCTTCGCCCCAGTCTGAGGTCCTGAGCGCTCTGGAGCAGGTTTTTATCAAGGATCTCTCTGTACGTTGCTCCGTTCATCGTTCCCTCGATCCTGACTAGTCTCCCAGTCCCTTTCGCTGAAAAACATCCTCACAGCATGATGCTGCCACCACCATGCTTCACCGTAGGGATGATGCCAAGTTTCCTCCAGACGTGACGATTGGCATTCAGGCCAAAGAGTTCAGTCTTGGTTTCATCAGACCAGATAATCTTGTTTCTCCATGGTCTGAGTCCTTTAGGTGCCTTTTGGCTAACTCCAATCGGGCTGTCATGTGCCTTTTACTGAGGAGTGGCTTCCGTCTGGCCACTCTACCATAAAGGCCTGATTGTTGGAGTGCTGCAGAGATGGTTGTCCTTCTGGAAGGTTCTCCCATCTCCACAGAGGAATTCTGGAGCTCTGTCAGAGTGACCATTGGGTTCTTGGTCACGTCCCTGACCCTTCTCCCCTGATTACTCAGTTTGGCCGAGCAGGCAGCTCTAGGAAGAGTCTTGGTGGTTCCAAACTTCTTCCATTTAAGAATGATGGAGGCCACTGTGTTCTTGGGGACCTTCAATTCTGCAGACATTTTTTGGTACCCTTCCCCAGATCTGTGCCATGACACAATCCGGTCTCGGAGCTCTACGGACAATTCCTTCGACCTCATGGCTTGGTTTTTGCTCTGACATGTACTGTTAACTGTGGGACCTTATATAGACAGGTGTGTGCCTTTTCCAAATCATGTCCAATCAATTGAATTTACCACAGGTGGACTCCAAGTTGTAGAAACATCTCAAGGATGATCAATGGGAACAGGATGCACCTGAGCTCAATTTAGAGTCTCACGTCAAAGGGTCTGAATACTTACGTAAATAAAGTATTTATATTTTTTATACATTTGCAAAACTTTCTAAAAACCTCTTCACTTTGTCATTATGGGGTATTGTGTGTAGATTTATGAAGGAAAAAAATAATTTAAATCCATTTTAGAATAAGGCTGTAATGTAACAAAATGTGGAAAAAGTCTAGGAGTCTGAATACTTTCCAAATGCACTGTACTCTAACCACTGAGCCGCTGGTTCATGCCTGCTCAGGCTGTTACTCCCTCTATCACTACACGACTATCCTAGAAGAAGAAGTTACTGTGTCCATCTGAGAGTCATGTCTCGTCTCTTGTCCCCAGGCCATTTGGACTCCCCTCCACATCGCAGCATCTGCAGGCAGAGAGGAGATAGTGAAGTCACTAATAAACAAAGGAGCCCAGCTGAACTCAGTCAACCAGAACGGCTGCACCCCTCTGCACTACGCTGCCTCCAAGGACAGATACGAGGTACACCAACACTGGGTCCACAATGTCAGACGAATACTGTTCTGAAGCCATCTGCTTTACTCCGGTGGGTTAGTTGGTTGGCACAGTGGCTAGTTTGTCCGTCTTGGGATTGAGTGTTGCTAGTTCAAGCCTTGCCAGAACCAACTATGTTCCCCTGGCTTTGCTACGATAGTTCTGCAGCTATTAAAGCAGAAAATAAGAACTGTGTAATGTGTTATGTTGGATGGTAATGCACATGGTTGGTCTTCACAGATCGCCCTCCTGTTGTTGGAGAGTGGAGCGGACCCTAACGTCACAGATAAGCTGGCGTCTACTCCCCTACACAGAGCCTCAACCAAGGGCAACTGCCGTCTGATCCAGCTGCTGCTCAAACAGAGCGCTTCTACCAACATACAGGACTCTGAGGGAAACACTGCACTGTAAGCCCTGGGATGTGTGTGTGTGTGTGTGTGTGTGTGTATTGAAGCTGTTTTCTACTGTTTTTACATAATGCTAAATATTTATGTGCGTCTCCCCCAGCCACCTGGCGTGTGACGAGGAGCGTGTGGAGGCAGCTAAACTCCTGGTGGAGAACGGAGCCAGCATCTATATAGAGAACAAGGAGGAGAAGACGCCATTGCAGATCTCTAAAGGAGGTCTGGCCACACTGCTGCGGAGGATCGTAGAAGGAGGAAAAATCTGATCCATCTGACCACACACTGATCCAGTCGACCGTGGTCTAAAGGGGCTTCCTCTCCTCTCCTCATCTCTCCATCCTTTTCTGCTCATCTCTCCTTCATCTGCACTGATTTGAGAAAACAGGATAAACTCTGCCATATTGCTTTGACCTATCCTCTATATTCTAGTCCTTTACTTTCACCAGTCCAGTTACAGATCAGTGTAGGAGGAGGTGAGGAGAGGGGATGAGGAGGAGGCCTCTGTGGACTATTGAGATAGTCTGTATGAAAGCATTTTTGTTGGAGGAAAGAGCAATTCTGACTGGACTGGAACATGATAATACCCTACAGCTACTTACCAGAGCAACCTATGTTGTATGAAGTTTGAAACTGTTCTAGAAATTCAGCTTCTTAAACCTTGTTTTTTAAAAGATGTAATAAGTTGGTGTCTTAACAACTTGATTAAATGAATCACCTCGTCTATATGTTCATATCCAGGCCTATTTAAAACATGTTTTACTGTCTGAACATGTAATGTGATTTGGTTGTAAATTCATTGCATTCCTTTGATTCCAAATACATTGATAATCTGTAACAAATTACATTAAATTCTATTTTGTGTCATAGCATTTGATAATGTACAGTTGTGATTGAGGAGGAGCAGGAACCATGCTTGAATCAATAACCTTGCAGTATGGGGTGAGCACACTATCCTGTGCCATAAATGTTCAGACCTCTTGGCATAGACCATAGCACTACCCTCACATACAGCGTATGGACACTATACTTTTACCAAAAAAAAGTCCCTTAGGCAATGTCATGTGCGTCTGTTTTATATAGTCTGAATTAACCCGTTGTCACTGCTTGTCATTTAGGTAATGATTCTCATTCTTCCTAACTCGAGACAAGGCTTCCTCCCATTTCCTGTTGGTCATCTTCTTCAGAGCTCCCTCCATCAGCTCATTCCAATAGATGTATTTATGTAGAGTGTCTCGGTCGTAGATGGCCTCCGAATACTTCCCCCTGTCGTTGGTCGCAAACCACTTCACCGTGGACCACGCGCTGTTCAGAGGGCTCAGGTGCGCGCACTGGAACGGGATTTGAATAAGCTCGTGCCCGTACGCGCGCGCCGCCGCCGGGCAGCAGGTCATAGGCATGAGATCCACCGGGGCCTCGGGCAGGTGATGAACGTACCCCGCGAAAACATAGTTACAACCGTTACCTTTCCTTGGCGACCTCCAGCTTTGATTGTTCACCACTATCGCACATTTCCCGTAGTTCTCCCTCAAACTGCCACACAACTCTTCAAATATTTCCCCTGAAGGCTGCAGTGAGGAGACACCGCTACAGTGGAACAGTAGTTTGTAATTCCAGGGGACCCATCCTCTCTGACCTCCCGCGTGGATGACGCTCCAGGTGTGTCTGCTGCTGGAGGTGTCCGTTACCGTGGAGATGTCACCGGTGATCAGACCCTCTGGAATCTCGGTTTCACCGACATAAACTCGGTAGAAGCCCTCGCTCTGCAGCTGTCTGATGTCGCGGATGTATGGCACACATTGATGCCCGCTGTTGGATCTCCTGTTCCACATGAACTGTAGAAGGTTCCGCAGCTTGAGGCGCATCCTCGGGCCTTTTGGATAGGTCTAGGACAGAGTACGCTTCTGGCGCACATTTACAAGTTCTAAGGTGCGTCATAATATAGTCGATATTCGAGCAGAGGTTCTGTCCCATCACCTTGTCACCTAAACTTCTTTAGGCTTGATTAAATCAGAAGATGAAATAATCATGATTCAAGGTTCCATGTATTTCCATATTTCAGGCCTATGTAAAAGCACATGAGTTCTATAGTTGTCATGGCGCCCTAGAAGCAGCCTCAGCCTGGTGTCATAGACTAGACGTAATATAGTAAATGTAAATCCGGGACACCAAAAGTAGTATCATATGTTACATTTGGTATGGTTACATAAGACAGATTGTTTCTTAAGGCAAAACGAAAGTAGGGTGGTTGGTCGGGGTGGATGGGTGGGCGTATAATGTGAATGTCTAGCAACCCAAAGGTTGCGAGTTCGAATGTCATCATGGACAACTTTAGCATTTTAGCTAATTAACAACTTTTCAACTACTTACTACATTTTCCCCTAACTCTAACCTTTTAGCTAACCCTTCCCCTGACCCTAACCGTAACCCTTTATCCTAACCTTAACACTAACCTTACCCTAACCCCTAGTATAACAGGGTTATATTGGTGATTCCCCTTGCCACTTTATTGTTAAGCCAATGGGTTTTTGGTTTTAGTTTTGTCTTGCCTTCACCTACTCAACATGGCATCTTATTGGCTGGTTTGCATGGCTTGCTTAGGAGGGAGGATGTTTAAATTAGAATGTCCCAGTGAACAAGCACCAAACCAGTGGTAGGTTGTGGGTTGCAAAGCACTGTACATCGGAAGTGATTTTTATACTCACAAGTGATGATTTGAATGTACAATTTATATCAAGTTGTTTGTAAATATTATTAGAACATCACACATAAGATGCAGTGTTTTTTGTGCATATTTGTTGTGCATTTTGTTGTAGAGAATTCCAGCTAATGCTAGCTAGCAATTTACTGTGTCTGGTGGGGGGGTTTCGTATATTTTGTGCAGTGCTTGAGTGCCGTGTTGGATGGTGAGCCGTGCAATTGTGTGCTGTTTCTATCAGGTACACCCCAGCCACCAGCTCATGGCGTTGTTGCAGTTCACTCCCTCACCCGATTCCCGCTTCTCCCGAAGTTCACGCCCACTATCCTTGGTAGCTATGGTGATGTGTGTGTGTTTATATGGGATTATCCAATTGTGAAACAATAAAAATGAATCTGCCAATTAAATGATTGTTTTGTTTTTTATGTTTGGTCAGGGATGGAACCAGGGACTGGAAGAATCTGTGCCACCTCCTCAGCTCGCATGAGAAGTCGCATGACCACCTAGATTGTTTCCAAATGTGGAAGGAGCTGGAGATCAGGCTGGTGTCCAAGCAAACTATCGATGCCCAAGCCCAACGGGCTATTGACGGAGAGACTCTCCACTGGCAGCAGGTGCTGCAGAGGCTCATAGCCCTGATACGCGTAATGGCCACCCAGAACATTGCGTTACGTGGGACCACCGATAGGCTGAACGAGCCAAATAATGGGAACTTTCTGAAGTTTGTGGAAATGCTGGGTATCTTTGATGGAATCATGAAGGAGCATGTAAGTAGAGTACAGTACAAAGAAACACATGTGCACTACCTCGGTAAAATAATCCAGAACGAAATCATTGACATGCTGGCACAAGAGATCCAGCAGACAGTGTGCAATGATCTAAAAGCAGCCAAATATTTTTCTATAATTTTGGACTGCACACCAGACAAGAGCAAAACAGAGCAGATGACCATGGTGGTGCGTTTTGTTTCAACCGAGGATGATGGGTCAGTGCACACGAGAGAGCACTTCCTGGAGTTTAGTGAACTGCTTGACGCAATGAGGGCGGCCATGACCGAGTTGCTCACCTCAAAACTACAGAAACATGGCATCGCCATCATGGACATGAGAGGGCAGGGGTATGACAACGGGGCGAGTTTGCGGGGGAGGCACAGCGGAGTTCAAAAGAGAGTGCAGGATATCAATCCAAGGGCCTTTTTTGTGCCATGCACTCGCTGAACCTGGTTCTCTCTGATGCAGCATCGTGCTGCTTGGAAGCGGCTGAGTTTTTTAACACCATCCAATAGATTTATACATGTATACAAGGTTGGAGGCAAACAACATTTCCGCCAGATGAACAACTTTGGCTTCATGTGCGCAGTGGTCATGTGCGCAGTGGCATGACATCTTGTTCGAAGTGAACATCACCAGTAAGAGTTTGCAGGTGGTGAGTTTTAACATTTCACTAGCAGTGGCTCAACTGAACTCAACCAGGGTATTCCTCCAAGACTTCCGCTCCGATGCAGCTTTCGCTGGCGCTTTAGCAAGCGCAAAAGAGTTGGCAGAGGAGGAGGGTATTGTGCTCTGTTTCCCAGTGCAGCCCACGGTCCGTCCCAGGAAGAAGAGGAGTCTGTTTGGCTACGAGGGAGAGTGACTGACCCTCAGCAGAAATTCAAAGTACATTTCTTTAATCAGATTCTTGAATCTGCTATCCAGTCCGCCAACGAGCGCTTTACGCAGCTCGAAGAGCACAGCAGTATTTTCAGCATCCTGTACAACATCCCCACCATCAAGGACATGGACACTGCAGCACTTACCAGGGACTGCGCAACACTGGAGAGGGCCCTTACGTACGGGGATTCCAGGGACATCGACGCAAAATATCTGTGTAATGAGCTCAAAGTCTTGAGCAGGAGACTGGACAGTGAGGCAAAACCACTGGACGCACTGGAGTACATAACCAGACACCAAATGGCCTCCTTGTATCCCAATGCCTTTGTTGCCCTGAGAGTTCTTCTCACACTCCCGGTGACAGTGGTAAGTGGACTCAATGGACTCGCCACCATATCAATTGAGCACGAGTTGTCTTACTAAATCAACCTCCAACAAGCAGTGCATGCTTTTGCTGCCAGGAAGGCTAGACGAGTCAACTTGTCTTTGAATAAAAGGTAAGCGTTGATCATACACTCGCATTAATTTGTAAGATTACTCAATTATCTATCACCTGTTTACTTTGTATTTTTTAAGATTGAAATAGACTACATCCTAATCTCGCTCTCTCACTCTATTTCTCCCCCGCTTTCTCTCCGCTCTCTCTGTCTCTCGCAGATGATTTGATTTCAGGACCATGGACAGCTACCGAGAGAAAACGTCGCTGACTGCAGAGGAAAGAGGCCACTCTAGGTGGAGACTAGATAAATACATGCTGAAACTGATGTTGGACAATCCAATTCGCTATGTAAATGAACAAAATTCGTTAAGGCTTTTATTGTAATTGTAACAATGATGGGATCGTGCCATGTGGGATGACAGGTGGCATATTATTAATAAGAAACTCGGTGTCCTACTATAGGTAGTTGGCTGCAAAGTGATAGAAACATTGTAACTCTCCGATGCAGGGGTTAAAGTAAAATTCCCTTCTGCCGGGTAAGGGACCTCCTATATGTGCACGCGTGCACCAACATTCTTTATTGTTTATTGGTATAATCATAGAATTACATGCTCTACCAACTGAGCTACAGGGGACTACAGGAGTGACAGAAGCTGATCTGATGGAAGATGGCACTGGCATTCCTTGGGATGGTGGTGTATTACCAACAGTTCATTGAAGGTTGCTCGACCATCGCAAAGCCTCTCTTTGGATTGACAACTGGACACAAGGCTCCAGGCTGGAGAAAGAAGTGACACTCACCTGTCAGGAAGATGACGGCTGCTGACTGGACAGCAGAATGTCAGACAGGCCTTATTCTAGCTAAAGCAAGCCTTACTGGACCAGGTTTTGTTGGCCCACCCCAACTTCAACAAATACTTTCTACTCTCGGTGGACGTGTCCAGCTACGGTTTAGGTGCTGTGCTGTCCCAGGTACAGGAACAGGGAGCTACAGCGAGGCCTATAGCCTTCGCGAGCAAGTCCCTCAGATATGCGCCGTCGAGGTATTCTGCGCACAGCTTGAGTTCTTTGCCATGAAATGGGCTATCTGTGACAAGTTCCACCACTGGTTACGGGGGCAGCAGTTCACGGTATGGCCAGATAATAATCCCTTGACACACATCCTGACCAAAGCGAAGCTTGATGCTTGTGAACAGAGATGGGTCGCCAAGCTGGCGTCGTAGGAGTTTGACATCAAGTACAACCCTGGGCTGCAGATGCTTTGAGC